GCCTGAAGGCTGCGAAATTCATTTGGTATGTTTCTTGATAACTCCTCATCACAGGGTGTTTTGAACAGCTGGTCTTGGCACTCTTGTCCTCTATCTTTACAGACGAGATCCTTTAACCGGCTGTTCCCGCTGGCTGCACACACGTAGAAGTCGGAGCTGAGCAGGGCCACTGCTATCCAGGTGAGTGGAGCCACCAAGGCTTTGGCTGTCACCAGCACCAACACCTGGCAGAATTGGGCCCAGGTTCCCGAGAGGCTGCAGTCACAGCACTTCTTCAGAGGGCAGCTACCTGTCAACAGGCGCCATATCCTGGTGTTCACCATGTAGCCAAGCAGAAAGAGGATGAAGGCAGGCACTATGAGGAAGAAAGAGCCATACAGCATGTTCTCAGAATTGCAGGGACACCTGAACACCACAGAAGAGAAGATCTCCTCACTGGCAGCTGTCAGCAGGGACACAGTGCTGTAACCCAGAACAGTTTTGTGGCGGTTGTAAAATTCCAGTACCTTACGTAATCTCTGCATTTTCTGCCTTCTCTTACTTTGAGGAGAGCAAAATCTCCACCAGAAAAGGACGAGAGAGAGTTGAGAGTCCTGGAGGTCTCACAGCTTAGAGAAGCTTGCAGAGCTTTCACTTTCTGTTGGTGGTGGTGATGCAATGAGGCAGAGAAACAACTCTCCTTAGAGAAAGGAAACGAGCATGTGCTCACTGCACAGTATCAGGGTCAAGCAGAAGTCACAGTGCAAACCCACTCCAGTTTCAACAGCAAGACAACAGAGAGCATTATTTCTATAAAAATAATTTGTGTTTGTCCATATATGCATTGTAGCTAGTAATGGCTTCCATCTCATCATCTTTTCAGTGAAGCTTTTCAGTGAGGTACCAGATTCAAAGTAGGAATAAAATGTGAGAAAACCACACAGAACTGTATACAGGTTTTTATCCTGACTTATTATTAGCAATGCAATATGGCTTGTTCTCTTACGGAAGGAAAACTCAGCAGTAATCATGTTAATATTTCAAGATAATCAGTCTTTTTTGAGTTGTTAGAGCAAATTATCCAGTGCACACATCGCAATGACCAAGGAAATGATTCCCACTGAA